GGGAGATCAGGAGGAGACATGGACGAGGGTATCGGGTTGGAGGGAGTCTTTCCGGTGGAAGGATGCGGAGGAAGAAGACGAAGTCTTCCTCTCATGAGCTTCGTCCATCTCTATCTGCTCCTCTCTGCACTCTTCGCTGCAGAATGGCTTGTCTCCTCTGCAATATACATATAATATATATAACCAGATGTTATATTTACTTACTTGATAACAAGACATTAAATAAAACCCTAATCACAGAGAGAGAGAGAGAGAGAGAGAGAGAGAGAGAGAGAGAGACCTGTACATGAAGATGTCGGAGTTGAAGGCAAGTGAGCGGCGGCACAGAAAGCACTCTTCCAAGAAATGAGGCTCCCTGTAATAATATGACTCCATCCCCTTTAATATCTTTCCTATCAAACTTCGCTCTGTCTCCTCTGCAATGGCGGAATATTCGGCAACGAAAGAAGAGGGGAGAGTTCCTCCTCCTCTTCTCCTCTATTTATAATATACAGACCGCTTCCCCATTCTTCAACGGCGGCAGACCATTCTGCCCTCCACGCGATGCTGACGTGTGCGTAGACACGTGAAAGCGGTTTACGGTTTAAAACTGTAATACATATATCTAATGTCTCTTTGACTTTCCAGATACATATTTCATTATCTCCTTCAAATCGAATCCCTCGTACATGAATCTAGACTATATCTCTCCATGTGTTCCAAATAACCGCTAACGTTAATACAAATGAACAATTTATCAAACCAAACACTTGTTTTGTCCCAAAAAAAATATATTGTTTTTTGATTATGCAAAATATAAAATAATATAGATATATAAATTAGTGGTGACCGGTCGATCTAAGAAGCACAACTTGATGGAATTTGGAAATAAATAATGAAATAAGATACGAGCGATGCATTGTTGATTACTTTTTTTCCCCGCGAAAAATATCCTATTGTCATTATGGAAAGGAGATACAATAATATCACTATCAATTAATTTGGTGGGTGACGGACAAGTGACGAGGAACTGAGTGGATCCGAGTAAGATAGGGCCCACGAGCTGGGCAATGACAACTAAGAAATTTGTAAGATTTCCGTAAGCATGGGGCCCACGGCCTCTAATACAGACAAGAGTGGCTCCCGCCGGGGACACGTGTACCACTAGTTTCTCGGGCTTCCGTGTGTCCGTGACACGTAAGAGGGGGCGATGACTCGATGATTGGGATCGCCTCGCCAATAACAAGGACCCATGTTTCATAATCATTTTTTTTTAACAAAAGGCCGGCCAAAAAGTACAAACAAAGGGGAAAGTTTCGTAAAAAAAAAATTACATTATATCATTAATGTGTATAAACAAATTCATCTGTTTGGATTCCGAGAAAATGAAGTAAAACAGAGAGAAAAAGAGAGGAAAACGTTAGAGAAACTTGGCAAAAGTCTCATAAAACTGTACTCATCGATTGTAGTTCACATATATACACATCCAAACTCTGTTTGGCTCTGTTTTTCTCTTGTAAAAACAGAAGAGGAACTGAACTGCAACCCTTAAAATAACACAAGACCAAGTTCTTGAATGATCCAACTCCAGACCCGTTCCAATTCAATAATTCATGGAACAATTAAGTAGGACCAATCCATTTAACACAAAGAAGAGAAGAGACCCAACAGTTGGTGGCTCAGTGGCTGAGAAGTAACAAAATCATCTTCAAGATTTTGAGTTCGATTCTACTGGTGGGGAAGGATGTAATTTCTGGACCAAAATGGTCTATATATAAAGGCTGGTCCCGGGCCTAGAGTGGATGTAGTCGTGTCGAAGGCCCGGGAACCATCCTGATTATATAAATAAATAAAAAAGTGAGAGAAGGGGACATGACTTTGACCAAATGACTAAGAACCCGAACCATAAATCATCGCCAACCTCTCACTATTGGCCTCTCCAAATTGTTGGAATCTGTCGGGTCTGAGTCCATTCATCCTTCCAAGGATTCAAAATTCAGATAAAGAAACCAAGACAAACTTTTTCCTTTCAGAATCTAGGAAATGAGGGCACGATTCCGGTTCTTGTGCAGTACTGCAACTGAATGTGATCATAACTGAAAGCATTACTAATCGTCTATGAAACAAAAAAGCAAGGCCAAGCTCAGGGCATAGCTCAGAAGGGAGAAAGAGATCATCCGTCCACTGCTGCAAGCAAAGGCGCTTCCGCTGTAACACCCTTCCTTCTGCTTGATTCCCCTGCCGTTATCTTCAAGAACGAACGTAGAGTTCGTCTGACCATTGCTAAAGAGAACACACCAAAAGAACGGACCTTTATGGAACCCGACAATCCCGACTCCAACCCCAGTATGCGACTTATTCACGAGAATCGACAACTCTCTCCTATCCCTAACGAGAATGTCTGAGAATGCGGGTTCCGGCTGTACGTACTTGGACATGCAGCCGACGATGTGGCCGGTTAACGTACCCAATGTGGGCAGTTCTACCCCACAATTAGGGGCGAAAACCTCCGTGAAATCATCATCTGGGGGTTTACAGTTGGCAGCATCGTTATTTCCGCTGCAGTTTCCCTTGCACAGTTCAATATACTGGAGGGCCATGCATCCTAGTCCTGGACTGTTGTTTAGTTTGGCCAGTTTCTGAGCTGTTCTGTTCTTGTTCAAGAAGTCGACGATTTCATTGGCTGGGTTTCCTTCAAGAAATCATCAAACAAAATCCAACCATTAGTCATCGAGTTCAAGCAGATCCAATAAACATCCACAGAGGTGTATCAGGCTTTATGGGTCGGCTTATTGTCCACATTAGACATAGAAAAAGGAGTATCTTTGTTCTGAACAAGGCGGAAATGGCAGATACCTAATGTATGATTTCATCACATATTTGCAAGAGAACTGCCTAATTCCAGCAAACCCATCATATAAAGATGGTAGCTTTCCGAGAAAATCCAAATCTGGCTCAGCATTTATTTGGGTTTCTCACCCCCACTAGCACCCCATTGTTTTAGTAACAAAAAGCTCAAGGCACACGAGGAAAGTTGCAGATGCAAGAGAAACAAGCTTGAGAATCGAATGCATTACCATGTTGTCTGGAGCTAGCAAACACTGGCAGAAGCAGCAGCAGCGGCAGCAGCAAGAACATAATCGACTCCAAAAAGAATGTTTTGCTTGCCATTATCGCGTGCCTTCAAAAGAGTTTTCCTCCCAGCTTAGAGGAGGAAAACCCTATTTTGCTCCCTCTGCGTCCCAGAGAGACACAAAATATTTGAGTATGGCCTGTAAGCTAAGAGAGGAGAGAGAGTGAACAGCAGCAATGGCGGTGATTCTGCGGAAAAGCAGGGGGATAAAGGGAAAACAAATGGGTAGACGAGATTTCCGGAGAACAATGTTGGGTTTTTTTTCCCTCGAAAATCCCATTAAAAAAAGCTTCAACTGTTGGGCGAGAAAACGGGCTCTTATATTGGGCCTCTAAATTGGGCCTCTATTTTTTTCACTTTCGGGTTTCTTCTAACTAAAAAATGAGTAAAGTTACTCTTTTGTTGGGTTAATAGGCCTTATCGACTAAGCCCAAAAAAGTAATTTTTCTCACTTTTAGGAAGTGATTACCAAAAAAAAAAAAAAACTAAAAAGCATTATATCGCAAATGTGATATCAGATCATAGGCATATATATATATATATATTTTACAGTGGGTATTCGTGGAAGATACTAAAAACCAAAGGAATTGTGACAGCTAGGTATAATATTATATATTTCAATGGTACTTTAGCTGAATTAGTATTTGGTAACTTAATTATGTCCAATGTCACTAAATGGCGTACCATTAAATCATACGAGCGTGTTAAAATTTCCATCACAATTTAGGTCATGTGGTATCCTATGAAAAAACTCAAGTGCCATACGTACCCATTGTCTCATCTTCTTCCAATGTCCACATTTGTTTTTTTATATATAAAAAAATGGGTTTGACTCGTAATGTCTATTGATAAAAAAAATCGGTTAGCCAATACTATATATGATAATATTAAAGCGTTTTTATATTTTTTTTTCTTTTTATATCAGATAAGAAACGAAATTACTGTTTGCCCAAATGATATAAAAAAATATCTAATTTTTACATATGCTTGATAATAACATGGGCCGCTCTTCTCTCTCACTAAATATATGAAAGTATTTCATAAACTCATATGTCTCTCGTATTAAAAAGCTTTTACGACAAATTAGTTATAATTAATTTTCATTATTCGGACCGGATTTATATATATATATATATATGTAAAAGAAAGGTCGGCACCTGATTAGAGGTTATTACAAAGGGCAAATTAAAATATTTGGACATCTTTTAGTGAACAGAATCAAATTCGCCCGTTCCATTGCTTTTACGAGCTCCACTTGGTTTAAGAATCCAAATGGCAGAAAAGGACAAAAGAGTGGATTAAGACGAAATTTTTTTACATTAAATTACTTTGCAAATACATTATCCACCAAACACCAGTGTCCAGAGGATGAACGCCACGTGTAAACCTTATCCAATCTGGACGGCTGATTTCAACTCGAACCTTCAAGAAGCGGGGCCCGCTCTTTTCATCAGGTGCGTGCACGTGATAAGATCCAACAGCCGACATCCCAACACTCTCAGGGGCAGTATGGTCATTTTATATCGGTTGACGCCGCGTGGCTTTCCTCACACTTGCAGCGTGTAAATGGAACAGCAAACGTCTCACGTCAAAAACAGGGGAGGGAGTGGATTCAAATATAAAGAAGGCGATCGTTGTCGACAGAGCAAAGGCAACCTGAGAGTGAAATACGATTACGAATTCTGGGCATAGATTATTGGAATCTGAAATCGCTCGAGCAGAAGCAATGGTACAGATGATGTCTTCCAGACCCAAAGTGAAGCTGGAGGAGATCTTCGATTCCTGCCACTCTACTCCTGCCCCCCTTCCCAAACGGGCCAAGTTCCTGAATCTCGATTCTTTGGAGGTACCTCTTTTGCATATTCATGGGTATAATCGTGATGGGTTTTGTGGGAAATCAATCGATGGGATTTGAGTCTGGTGATCTGTGGTTGCAGTGCGATGTAGAAGGAGGAGAAGACATGGGCGTGTTAGCGGAGCCCAGTCCTTTGGGTTTGCGTTTGAAAAAGAGTCCGTCTTTCTTGGATTTCATTAAGATGAGGCTCTCTCAGCAGAATTCCTCCAAGAGGAAGAAGGAGGCAGCTGATAAGCTCAAGGCCTCGAATTTTCCAGCCTCCCTCGTCAAGATCGGAACCTGGGAGGTAATCTCTCTCTCTCAATTTCTTTTTTCTCTGCCGTGTTTTCCTTTCTGTGGAAGTTAATTACTGAAAGCAGTAGAAAACGAGGGTTTACATCTGAAAACGACACTAGTGAATGAATCCCTTAATTTGCGGCGTGGGTGCAGTACAAGTCGAGGTACGAGGGGGACTTGGTGGGGAAATGCTATTTCGCGAAGCACAAACTTGTGTGGGAAATGCTTGATGGTGGTCTCAAGAACAAGATTGAGATACAGTGGTCAGATATCGTCGCCATTAAAGCCACTTACTCTGACGATGGACCAGACGCCCTGGATGTTGTGGTACTTTTACTTAATTCTCTCCAGCGTTCCGGGTTTATTGTTGTGAAAGAAGCCGATGGTTTTGATGAGTTGTGTTGAAATTTGTTCGCAGTTGGCAAGGCAGCCCCTTTTCTTCAGGGAGACAAATCCTCAGCCGAGGAAACATACTTTGTGGAAGGCCACTTCTGATTTCACTGGCGGTCAGGCCAGCTTGAATAGGTTGGTGACCTGATTCTTGGTGTTTTCCATTGTATCTGGTTTCTTTTGTTTGGATTGTAATGGTTTCTGATGTTTTTTTCCCCTCGTTGACTCGCTCCAGGCGCCATCTCCTTCAGTGCCCACGGGGTCTCTTAGGCAGGCATTTCGAGAAGCTTGTTCAATGTGATCCACGACTACACTTTCTCAGCCAACAACCAGAGATCTTTGTAGAAAGTCCATACTTTGAACCCAGATCATCAATAAATGATGATGATGATGATGATGGTACACATGGGTCTGCCACCATCCCGGGACTGGAGATTGGTATTCCATCCATGGCTCCTGCTACTCAAACACCCTCCGCAACAGAGGAGATTGATTTTCTCAATGAAAATCCTGAGGATGTTCGCTCAGGTAAGCTTCTTATGCATGGAGGCCATGAAAGGAGTGAGCTTTGCTTCTTTCCCTGTGATTTTTTTTCCTAAGTGTTTTCCATTCACTTGCAGTGATAGATACACGGGCAACCAGGAAAGATGGCTATGGCATGACGACGGGGATGCGTCCATCAGCGTCTATAAGTGATCTGCTGTCTCGCATCGGGCACTGCATTTCCCAAGAAATGGCATCTGGAAATCTAATGTTCTCGCCAGACAACCTTCAAGGCAGAGACATCATGGGGGAGTTTGCTCATTGTCTGCTGAACGACACAACTCCACAGCTCGCGTCTTCCGCCACCGATGAACAGATAATGTCCCGAGTGAATTCTCTTTGTTGCTTGCTGCAAATGGACGGTTGCTCGAGTTCAGAGGCGAGATATGGAGAAAACCCTCAAGACAAGCAGCAGTTGGGTATTGCTGCGATCTCGAGGAATGAGTCACTAAGCGACCTTCTTCTTACTCTTCCGAGGATCGCTTCTCTGCCCCAGTTTCTGCCCACCATCTCTGAAGGTTCTTGAGGAACAAAGCCCTTATTATAAGGCACGCTGTCATATGTATACATTGTTACTCTTGTAGCTTTCTCTTGTTCAATGGTAGGCTGTAATTTTATTGCGTTCTAAATGTGAAAAACTCGAAGTTACTGGTCATTCTTAGAAAGCAGGAGCAAATTAATCTATTTTAAAAAGGATGTGGAGTTATGTAGTTTCACCCACTGCTGCAGGTAACGGCCCATTAACTCCAATCCCGTTTATACGGCCCATTAACTCCAATCCCGTTTATACGGCCCATTAATCCATTTCCAATTAGGAATTTAGTGGCCCACGTTTTAAGGCCCAACGCAATATGGTCCTATTCGTAAAACACGGTTACTCATATTTTATTACCAGGATGTTATTCGGGTTCATTTAATTTCATAGATCTGAGGCCTTCGGTTCATTTAATTTCATAGATCTGAAGTCAGCTTTTAATCATAAAATTAATTGTGTCTCATCTTTCTCACCCGTAGAAACGAACCCAAAATAAGAATGACTTTGTTATCTCTCATTCAACGGATCACCAATTGTTGGGTCATCATTCGTATAATTAAACCAATGAACCACCAAACGGTTGGATCATCGTCCGTATAATTAATTGAATCTGTTGAGATTACATAAAATTTTGTAATCAAATTTTCGCCCGATCTACGTGATCTTGTTTTAATGAAGTGAAGGTTCATCTCGAAGATATTTCTGTAGATTTACGGTATAAAATTAGTATGAGATCCGGAAATCCACCAATACAATACATACATATATATGTGTGTGACGTAGATTTAAATCTAATCAACGTCATCGAGTCAAGTCAAGGGGCATATTTAGTCGGCTTTAACAGTAATCATGAAGCACTTACTGACAAAGATATCCCTTGTTTTCCCCGTTTAGATCTCAATTTATAATCACGAGGTGGTCCAAACCCCCACCTTATTGTTATACTATATACTATGGAAGCTTTAAAATAAAAATAAATGTGGCAGTATGATACGACGAATAGGGACAATTCGCGGGGGGCAAAAACGGAAATCCCTGCATGATCCAAAAGAAAAAGGCGTCAAAATAAAAAAATAAAAAAAGCAAGAATTTTGATTTTGTCTTTTGTGAGTTTGGCACAAACTCAGATGGGAAGAAAGTTGAAGCCTACGACGACGCTTGAGGGAATCAGATGCTACATCTCTTTTCATTCACAGTATTTGTCCTGAATTACGATATAGAATTTGATAGAGCGACCTAAATTAATTCTATAAATATCATTTCAATCACACGATTAACAAAGAGTAATTTATATTATAAATGATAATCATAGTTTTCTTTTGGGTTTTTGGGTTTTTTATTTTTGTTTTCATAATTTTTACAGTTTTTATAACACGTGAAAAATCCAAGAAAAAAAAGGTTTATGATTTTTATTTGGTTTTTTCAATGAAATGGTTTCCCGGGATTTTAGGAGTTATCAATATATCTACGATCTGCTTTTTCTTTCCTTTTTGCGAATTGAATTTATGGTTTAGCGTGTGAATTATTATTTTAAAAAAACATATTTAGGGAATATGGGGTTTTAGTTTCGCTTTATTCCTTTGTCCTCAGATCGTGAGTAAGGTTGCATGGCTTTAGGCTCCCATGTTACGTACTCATTACTACCATACTTCGTATAACTCTTTACGAATCCACATGCACTTGATGCGAGAGCGTACACAAGACATTAAAATATATATATATACATATATATGCGATTAACCAGAAAACCAGACTAATTATTGCTCAGATCGTCTACGTGTATATATATATATATATAGTCAGATTTTCATACAATATGTAAACACGTTGTTGATCAAATATTTGTTGAACACAATTGCGAAAGCCGGCCGGACAGTTTGATAAAGAAACCAAAGCATCTTTCGGCTGGATGTCTTTCACAATCTCTCTCTCTCTCCCTAATCGGTGAGTACAGCTCAATCCATGCATACTGATTTTGCGAAAAGATAATGCAAGATTGTATAAAAGGGCAAAAAAAAAAAAGAGCTGCTTGAAGATGAATATATACTGTTTATATTAGTGGCTTCGGTTACAACTTGTCGATAAATATACACTTCTCTATGGTCAATTGGGCCACACACACACACAAATATATAAATATATATATATATATATATATATATATAGCTCAGACATTTACTTAATGGCATGGTCTTTCTTAACACGATTCATTTCGTTCACCATTCTGCATACACGTGTATTAGGTAGATATGTGCTAATTTCGATATTTCGGTTTGAATTACGTTATTCGTCTTATTGAGTTGGATTTGAGTGAAATCAGTGCAAAAACAGGTCCTTAATTTGATTATTATATGGTGCAAATATCGAATTAATTATTGGGTTGTGAATACGGGTATTTAATGCAAAAAGGATGAGTTAACCCAAAATTGAATGGTTCAACCGGTAAGGATAAGGCAAAACATTTTCTCAATCTAAGTTCGAGTGTCCATTTGTGAATGCACAACTTTTTCGTTCCTCTTGAAGATACAGTTGGGTCAAATATGGACAGACCTAGAAAAATATTTAGGAAGGGACATAATCTAATTTCAATATTCTGTATGGGGCATTTAGCAAATATATTTAAAATTTTATAAATTTCATAAAGAAACTTAATATGTTTTTATGAAATCGCTGAGGCCAAGTGTCTGGTCCGCTCGTGGAGCCAAAGAACTGCTAAACTTTCAGATTATAAAAAAAAAACTATAGTAAATTTTGTAGATTTGGCCAAACTTTTTCTGTAGTTAATTAACAGTCCAAAATGAAAAGCACTAATAAATATAAAAACAAATCCAGTAGCCATGCATGTAAACCGCATAAAATGACCGAATTTGGTATATAGATTGTTATATCTCCATAGAATTTTGACTGATATATATATATATATCGATCAAATAATTCACATATAAAGTGGTGCGAGTGGTAAAAAATCAAATGCAAAGTGTGGCGTGTGAGAGAGTCAAAAAGAATTTTCGTGGGGGGTGATGATTAAAGAGGCGTAAGAATGTCTTTAATTAGCCATATGGAAAGGAACTAAAGGGGCCACGACATTCACGATAAAAGAAACAAGAAACAAGAAACAAGATTAAAGGAAAACTTGATTGGGCTTCCATTTTTTTTTTAAAATGCATTATTTTTTATTATCTTTTTTTTATAGAGAGAAAAAAAAAAAAGAAAAGCCGATTGTGACGGTGTCGCCAGATAGATTTGATTGGGCGGGCCCCTCCCAGATCCAAACCGCTGAATCATAAAAGCTTTTTTTTTTTTTCCTTTTTCTTTAGGGTTTATTTATTTTAAACGCTACCAAAAAAAAAAAAAACATAACACTTCAAGGGTCCTTGGTGATGACCCTGTTAATACATATTTTTTGGATTAACTACGAGTTGTTTTAAAGCGTGGTTCATTTATTAATCGATATCTTTAAATTGTGAATATTCAAACTAATCTTTATTATCCTTGAATCAATACATTACAGAGTAGGTTATTGATTTTAAAAATTGTTCTGTTTTTTTTTTAGAATAGAGTTCGAATCCCTAATTTTTATGGTTAAAAAACGAAAATGTTAAACCATCTATATCAATTTTTTATATGGGTTCGTATTAATATTTTGCAACGCCAACAAGTTTATCAGAATAGAGTTGGAATCCCTAATCTTTATGGTTAAAAAACGAAAATATTTTTTTAAAAAAATTATATTTGCAGTTTTAGATGTAATATTTGATATATATTGACCATATTGTAGATATGGTTAAACCCAAGATTACGTACGTATGGGAAGTTCACGTTAATCCTATCCAATTAAAGTCTACATAACAAGACATCAACAAAAGCGATACAAAATCGCATCCGTTAATATTTGTGTATGATTGAAGAAATAGCAACCTAATCGATGCGACGTATCATGTACTTAGCATCCCGTTTTATTGGAAACAACAAATTTAGACCTATATATACACATTACACACACACACGTATGTGTCATGCACATGAATTATTGTAATGCATGCATGATATGGCGATACAACGTGATGAAGAAGGCGGGGAGAGGAGACAGAAGCAGGGGCCCACGCAGCTTTGAAAGCGATTTGTGTGAGTTAGTGAGCAGACAAAAGCACTTTCCTCTTCTCTATCTCTCTCTCGCGTTCACACTTCTCCTCACTCACAGAATCTTCTAAAGGTACCACTACGCAGCTCCTCGCCGCTTTTGTTAGTTTATAATATAATATACTCTATTCTATGCATCACTGACATCATGTGCATAATTCCTTAATCTCATATCACTGACCAAAAGTGAGCCAAAGTATGACAAGAACAACATCGGTCACAAGATGCCAACCCGATGGCATTCATTCCTGTTCAAATCTCGATGCTATTTATTCTAATCATCGTCATCAACAGCGGCTTATATATAACCTAATCCTATTCCGTACATACAGAGCTCGAACCATATATTTACACACTCTTTGCCCCCCCTCTCTCTCTCTCTCTCTCTGTTTTTGTTACTTCATATATAGACAACAAATACATACATACAAAGAAACCCTTCAACAATGGCGCCTATGAGCCTTCCTCCTGGCTTCAGGTTTCATCCGACGGACAAAGAGCTCGTCGCTTACTATCTCTATCGTAAAATCAGCGGCCAAACCATAGAGCTTGAAATCATCCCTGAGGTCGATCTTTATAAATGTGAGCCATGGGAATTACCAGGTACTTTTATTCATTATGCGTATGCATTATATATAACGTTTTTGTCACAGATAGAAACTATATTCTTCTCTATCTTATCGTTGAATCAACTGTATGTAATGGGTTTCCATAAGTGTTCATCATACATATACATATACTGTCATGTACACGTATTATAACGTTATGTAATGGAAGATTTTGACGATAACAAAAATGGACAGACAAGTCATTATTGCCGGGGAACGACATGGAATGGTACTTCTACAGCCCAAGAGATAGGAAGTACCCAAACGGATCAAGAACGAACCGGGCGACCAGAGCCGGTTACTGGAAAGCAACGGGCAAGGACCGGTCGGTTCAGTCGAATAAGAGGGCGATGGGGATGAAGAAGACATTGGTTTATTATAGGGGTAGGGCTCCACATGGAATCAGGACTAATTGGGTCATGCACGAATACCGTCTCGTTGACCCTGCTTCTTCTTCTTCTTCCACCTTAAAGGTCTGTACGATCGTTTTGTTCCTCTTGATAAAATAAAATTCTTCAATCGTAAACAACACTTGCACATGTATTGTTTGTCTTTCTCCCATTTACGCTTGCGATTATGTGTGTATATATCCATAATATATGTTTTCCTAACGTGTGATTTGTCTTAAATCAGTGCATCCTCGTATTTTTTTTTTCATCTTTAGTTGCACTCGGCTATAGGATCTATGTATGCACATGCATCTATCTTTTTTTTTTTTCCCTTTTCTTTAACTTCCGAACATATGCCCGTCAAGATCTTTATGTAGAAAGACGTGTATAATATATATTCCCAAGCATAAATATATATATATATATATATATATATGTATTTAAACCAAAACATCTTTGTATAGAGACGGTTGATATATATATATATATATGCACCATATCATCAGTTAGTCATATTAACAATGTTTGGATGTTGTATATATGACTGTAGGATTCATATGCGTTGTGTCGGGTCATCAAGAAGAACATACAAATTCCGAAACGTGGAGAAGAGAACGTCGGAAATGTTAATCATCGAGAAAACACGAGCATGCGGATATCGGATGAACGATTCAAAAGAGACGAGAGGGACAACATGACGAGTGGTGAGAAAGAACTAGAAGAAGAAGAAGAAGATGATGATCATCATGATAAAATCGAAAAAGAGGACAACCTCAAATTACCATCGGAGACATCGTTATTTTCAGAAGACAGTAGTAATCAAGCCTTTCTGTCGTCGGACGAAGCCAACAGTTCGGACAATCTGTGCTCTCCCTCGTCATTCCCCTTTGATTTCTCCTCTAATCTTTTTCAGGTACGTATCACTACAAGCTTTCTATAAACAGCGTTATAATTATTTTGAAATCTAATTTATGATTTATCAATTCTGATTTTATATGATAAAATTGCGACATCAATTCCACACAACATCAATGATTCGATAGTTGGAGGGTATGCATTTTTTTTATATAGTTTTCTCTTGAAAATATATTTAAATCTATACACCTCAAAGAATTCAATATATAATATCGTTTAAATGATTTTTAAAATGTAAAACAGTTTTTTAATTACGATAGATTTAATAGATCGTTGATAATCATTAATGGGATATCAATAAAATTTGGTGGATTTTGAATTTTTTTTTTCTAGATCCAATAACGCAAACTTTAATCAGATTTATTCAACTATTTCATTGAATGATATACGACTTCAAACTATTAAAATTGCCATGAAAAACTCCTCCATTTTTTTCTTTTTCATCTCTTATGGATTTTAGTATCATATATGAATTAGATTTGGACTTCATAATTCTATCCAACCACAGCCGAAAACCAATTTGTGGGCAAGATATATATATACAATCAAAAAGTTCAATTTGATTACAACATATTTTATGAACTTGTACAGTAGCAGGTGCAAGAAATTTACTTCCTCTTAATGCTAATATAATTTCTTAATAGTTATACAAACTGTAGAGAGAAATTTTGATTTTTTTTATAATTTATTTAGATCTTATTATATAGATTTATTTGGAGAACAAAATCAATGATTACGTGTATTACTTTATATAGGGAAGTGGAAAGAAGGAATGCATTGATCTCATGAACTCACTTTCTCTTTTCGTAAAGCTTTCTCCAACATCAAACATTGCGGCTTTCTTTTCTTTTCTTTTTTTCATCATCACGAATATCTCCTTATAATGGTGCATTATCAAATATATATATATATATATATAGGTTATATTATATACTTGTAGTACAGTCTCTCGACATATATTTAGGACAAGACTAACAAAAAAAAAATGATTAGATAACAAACGATGATAAATATCGAGCCTAACACCAACATGGGATGGTGTTGCAGGATCTACAACTGCCAAAGCCGATGTTGTCGAGTTATCAGCTTCCGTACCCTCCGCTTGAATTGGAGGATTTCCCTGAGATCTGTATGAATGATGCAGCTGCAGAGATCGAGAGATCCAAGAAGGGAGACAATATAGGTGATCTCATGATGCACGACATCAACGGCAGAGATTCTTCAAATGGAACACTCGAAGAGATCCTCTCTTTATGTTTTTCTGGACACGTGGATGGCCTCGACAGTTTCCTATGAACATTTTTTTCATTGGCACGTGACATTCTACTTCAATTGATTTGGCAGAAGAGAATGAATTGGGTGGAGGATCAAATAACCGAGGATTTATACATGGGTTTATTTTTTCATACCACAACACACACACACACACCACACGATGTTAATGATTTTTTTTTTTTTGGAGTTTTTATTTGAGGTTTATTTCGTGGATGTTGCGTAGTGTACGAGGGGAAATGGGAGTAACACAAACATATGAGTATCATCATCATCATCAACATCATCATCATCTAATCTCTTAGTATAATATAGATTCGTGAAGTGGGTTTCATGGGTCTGAGTTGTAGCCCAAGTTTTCGGCCTTATATTTTATATTTTGCACGATGGTTTAGCCCTTCTTTAAGGTGTGTATATATTTTGTGGAAAATCTCAAATAAAATATAATTACATGCCACCAATTAACGAATCAGCATAGCCATACACAGAGTTTTACGGAAGCTCTCTGCAAACTACGCATTAAATAAGAAAACAAGTTAAATGTCATATAGTTTTTTGGGACTCTCTTTCTAAAATTTATAATTTTAAGAGAATCTAGAAAAATCCGTGTTTTTTTTTTCTTCTAAATTTTAAAATCCAGATGTATTAATTTGGAATTTAGTATCTTGTATTTATAAGATATATGTTGGGGCATACAAAGCCGATACGGGCATTCGTCAAGGGGTACGAATTGAAATCGGTTCAAAACCACTACATACATACATACATACATACATACATACATACAAAATAAAATGCGAATAAATGGATGGTTCATATGATAAAAGCCCAAACATGGGATCCGAATAAAGAGCCCAATGGGTACAAATATTGTAATTTTGGGACAACCCCAAAAGTTAATTGGGAGAGTCCGAGAAGGCAACTCACCCGCCCGGTGGGGTAATGAATCGAAAAGAACGAGTTGTTTGACCATCCCCTTCTTTCCTTGGCTGCTTTGTCTGGTCTTAGCGTTCTGACCAATCCATCTCTCTCTCTCTCTCTCTCTCTCTCTCTTTTTCTGGAGAGAGATAGAGAATCGGTCTTCGGTCGCCGCCGACGAATCTTCCTCTTCTGTTCCTCAGAAAGATCAACCGCTCGTCTCCTATTTCCTTCCCTTTTTTCGGATTTCTCGGTGTCTGATTCTCCATTTCCTTCGATCTCGCATCTCTAGATTCCTTATTTTTCTTTGTCCCTTTTCGCTTTTCTCGGAAAGCCTTTCGGAAGCGAAGTCCTCGGCGATGAGTTCGAATACGGCGTCTTCCAGCGCGGGGGCTGCCGGATCGACTGATTCCTCCGCCGCCCGCAGGAATTCGAAGCGACCCAAGTGTAATTCTCCCTTGATCTCCCCCGATTTTTTTTTTTCTTTTTTTTGTTGACTCTTTGTTGTTTATCGATATGGATCTGGTATACGATTGGTTATCCATCCTGAATTTGGTAATTTTATGGTCGTCTTGTCCAATATGTGTTTCTTCGCTGGGCTTTTTCTTTTATCGTCAACGAATTATTTTGCTCGCCTTTCATCATGTCGATCTCTGAAGCATTTCTATGATCTTTGTAATTGCTTAAATTCTCTAGGGATTTTAGCTGATTCGTTACTAGGGTTTCCACGCTCGTTACAACTACAAGCCTAACATCCCCAAATTAGTGCAAGAGCAATTTCGATTCGGTTCCCTCAAATTGTCCTGCGATTTTGGCGAAATTGTTATTAGGGTTTTACATTCTCATCTCAAGCACAGATTTTTTGTTAGGGAGTTAGCTAAGACCCTGAAAGGAAAATATTACGTTGGCTAAAATGTAACCCTTTGCCTCAAATGAAACCCCTTTGCAGATTCAAGGTTTACACAGCAGGAGCTTCCAGCTTGCAAGCCGATTCTCACGCCCTGCTGGGTAAAGCTTCTTCCTTTTACTTGCGTATCTGCAATATATCTCTTCATTGATCAATCGGCCCGTAGAAGCATGACTTAATCTCTCCACCTTCTTATTTCCTCTGTGCAGGTGATTTCGACCTTTTTGATCGTTAGTGTTATCTTCATTCCCCTTGGGGTCATTTCTCTTTTCGCTTCCCAGGATGTACGTGCTGATGATCCAACTCTATATTTCAGCTTCTCCACCTTTATCGTTTTAGTATCTCACCTGTTTCCTCTCGGACACGGACAGGTCGTTGAGATTGTTGATAGGTACGACAATGATTGCATACCTGTTCCCGCTAGAGCTAACAAGGTTGCATACATTCAAGGAACTGGTGATAAAACTTGTAACCGAACACTAAGAGTGAGTTCCTTATCTGCAATTCCACTTAGTTTGGTTGTGTTGACATATTTTTTATATTTATTTATTTTTTCTATTTCTTCCATATTGTTAGGTGCCGAAGCGTATGAAGCAGCCTGTCTATGTTTATTACCAGCTCGAGAACTTCTACCAGAATCACCGCAGGTATATATATCACTGCCTTGAGAACTTATGGCAGCTCGTGACCCTTTTTACCCTTTTCTTTTATCGCAGTTATCTTGACCAATGACTATATTATATGTGTGCTCTACTTTTGATGGATACAAATAGGCCTGATACATATAGAGCAGGCGATTTGCTTTGATTAGAAGACACCACAATATACATATATGTCATATCTAACATTAATTGATAATGGGTATCTACCAAACAGGTACGTGAAAAGCCGAAGTGATTCACAGTTGAGAAGTCAAAAATATGAGAATCAGGTAGACGCATGCAAGCCCGAGGATGATGTTGGAGGGCAGCCAATCGTGCCATGTGGTCTAATTGCCTGGAGTCTTTTCAACGACACGTACGATTTATCAAGAAACAACCAACGTATAGCTGTAAACAAGAAAGGTATCGCGTGGAAGAGCGATAGGGAACACAAGTTTGGGAAAAATGTATTCCCCAAGAACTTTCAGAAGGGAAATCTGACGGGTGGAGCGAGCCTTGATCCAAACATACCGGTAAGCAATCGATCATCATTACTCGTTTCTCAAAACATCATTCTGCATCCATCCACCATGGATTGAATCGATTGATTGATATGGCTTTTGTGTGCGTGTGTGTTGCAGCTGAGTGAGCAAGAGGACCTCATCGTGTGGATGAGAACTGCCGCATTACCGACATTTAGGAAGCTGTACGGTAAGATAGAGACCGACCTTGAGGCCGGTGACACGATCCATGTCACATTGCAAAACTTTTACAACACGTACAGTTTCAACGGGAAGAAGAAGCTTGTTTTGTCGACGACCAGTTGGCTCGGTGGTAAGAACGATTTCCTCGGCATTGCTTACCTTGCAGTCGGCGGAATCTGCTTCTTCTTGGCCATCGCATTCACCATCATGTATCTCGTCAAACCCAGGTACCCCTTTCGCTATTTTTCTTCTCTTTTTTTTTCAAGAAAACAAGCGTTTGGACATGGCATTCACCATCACGTACTGGTTTGGTTTTGGTTTTGGTTTGTTTACAGGCGTCTGGGAGATCCGTCGTACTTGTCGTGGAACAGAAACCCTGGCGGTCGGTAATGAACTCAACAAAGAGACAATCTACACCCTTCCCAAAAGCTTCATGTACTTTTTTTGTGTATAAATATTTCGAAAACGTTTTTTTTTCCTCGCAAATATATTTTCTCCGACTCTGTGCTTTTCATTTTTTTTTGTCTCTTAATGCGTGTTGTATGGAGTGGTAAAATGCATTTCTATACTGAATTTGATTAGATCAGTTTCCTTTTATTCATTGGGTTTTCTTTTTTTATTAATGATACTAGAAGATAACTATAATAATTATTAATTACAGTATCTCCGGTTCGTGAAGGTGGTTTTCCGATCAACATGTCATTGCCGAAAATTTTGAAACGTGGATGGGTGGTCATGCGAAAAAGCTGGCAATTGAGCAAAAACCAAAGTACCAATGCCATCCAAAATCCAAAATTTTCGAATTTTTTGTTTTTGGGAAAGCAGATTTATTCTTAAAACAGCAGAAAATATGCATTAATAAGTGGTCCGGAGGTTATAACACTTAGGCGTGGGAACAGATCGGATACTCGCAACTTTTAAGGAATTCGAATCCGCGTATTCTAAAAACTCAAACTCGAATCCAAGTTTTCGAGTATCCAAAATGTATTATCCATTAGATAATTTTCGAGTATACACGGATACCCGAATCCGACGATTTTAATAATATTTTAATTAAAATTTTATAATTTTAGAGATTATATACAAATATTTATAAAACCATTAAAAAATATTAAAAATATTTAAATTTAAAACGATTAGATAATAAAACAAATAGTTATATATATATATATATATACAAAAATACCAAAATAATTGAGAGATACCTCTATAATTTTTTAGTAATTCAATATATAATAGTTCTTTTTTATTATTTGGATATCCGCGAATAATTATCCGATCCAAAAATATAAATCCGAACTCGAACCCAAATTATGGGTTTTAAAAAATTTAAAATCCGAATTCTATCTCATATCATAAGAGATACCCGATTTTCGAGTATTTTCGTCCACCCCTGATAAAATTTGGATTATGAGACAGGTCGAATATCGCTTTCGCTCGTGTTGGGCGAACAGACAACAAAGATAATAAGATACTAGTAAAGGTTTATTCGCGTGGGGAAAACAGTAGCCATCCAGTGAGAAAGCTTTCCGGTTCGGTTCGATATTTACTGGGTTCGGTTGGAGAAAAATTATATCAAATTATAATCCAATGTTAATTAGATTGATTCGGTTTTAGTGTCGGTTCTGTTCCAAACAGTCTTTTTTTAATTAGATATTTTCACATATGTATCTGTATATAGAAATGGATAATTCAGTTTCTTTTCGATGATTATCTGGTTCGTTTGATATTTTATTGAACCGTGTTGAAACGGTTTATTCGCTTTTAGAAAATTAGTATAAAAAAAATCGGACATTATTCAGTTCGATATGATTTGGATTGGGTTGGGACCAATAATGGGGAACTAAACTCTTTATTACACATAGATGGGCCAGAAATGAGCCACTAATGGGCTTTAAAACGATCACGGCCCAACCCCAGGCCCAACATACCACACACAAGTTAAAACTTGTTAATTTTTGAAGTGTTTCTTAGATATTCTCGATCTCTTTGCATTTTTTTTTTGTTTCGAATAAAATCACGTCTGAATATTTTTTTATTATCGAAAACATTTTGTATAATCTTTGATTCTATTTTCCTTTTGTACAAACTTCTATGGTATATGTTTACATATTTAGTTGATAAAATTAAAAAAAGAAGGGACTTTTGAATAAGTGGACACCGGCTTTGAAAGGAAAAGTTTTGGAGATATTTAATTAAAGGGCATTGTCCTCTGCATTGAAAGAAGAGGCGCACATATAGAGAGATGTAACAAGTTAACACCTTTTAAATGTTGGATTCCACTTGGACACTGTTGGATTGACGTTAAACGGTATCCAACCAAAAAAATCAAATATGAAATATCTCTCTGGTTTTTTTTTTTTTTTTTTTTTTTTTTTTTTGTTTTTTTTTTTTTTTTTTTTTTTTTTTTGGAGAATGATGGACACTTTTACGTGAATCAACAGAAAACAAACGTTGTTGTATATTTCGGATTAATTCTTGGGTTTGCATGGATCGTACTAAACCAAACCAAGCTTTTACCAAAAAAAAAAGGGGGGTTAATTAAGCCCACATGGCGAGAACGGACATGGAAGCAGAACCGAGGAGGAGGGAGAGATAGGAACCGAGGAGAAGCCTGAGATTGGTCTGAAGTTTAGGGTTCATGAAATCGGCCGCCAGCAGATCGACGAGTGACATATAAATCAATATTCCGGCCGATGCAGCGTTGAACACTCCTTCCACCCACAACGCCTCCTTGCTCTCCTCCTCGTAACTCCTCGTTATCCCTATCCCCACCCCTATCCCCACCGGCGCCGTCATCGAGAAGAACGTCGCCATTATCGCCTTTGATCTCGTCTCGAACTGTGCCTGTATGTATATTCATATACATGAGATTTTCACGAATACCCATTTGCTGACGTAATCCCACAAGTTGTTGCTTCAATCATTAGAGACCCACAAAGTTTGTTTGGTTCATGTATATATATTGGCATGCAATAGTGTTTATGTCAATAATAATTCATATGTCGAGCAATGTTTTGGACTGTTGTACTGTCTAAAAGGTACATCTTTTTAGATGTCTTTATCTAACGGGATGCTTTTTTTTTTTATATTTTTTTTTTTGTCTTTGGATGGATGCCATTATTGCAATATATGTTGTCATAGTGGCAACACGGCACACCTTACCCAAATTTTATTACAATCATCCGCTCTCACATTTGGATATTGTCCTTATCATCATCAACAACTTAAGAATAATAAAAGCAAAACGGGCGCCCTATATTTCACAAAATGGATTGTAATTAATGGCACCACATTTCTTTCTTATAATTTGTCATGATTTGGGCTTATTAACTGGATAAATAACCAAAAAAAGAGGAACCTGGGAGATGCAGCCGCCGAGGCCAAGGCCTTCGAAGAACTGATGGAAAGAGAGAGCAGCCATGAGAGGCTTTATGGTCTCTACGCTCTGAGAAGCTCCCAGCGATATCCCTATTATCACCGAATGCACCACTATCCCCACCTCCAACACCTGCCGTACGTTCTATTATTTATTAATTCCATATATATCCCTCTTTTTATTTATACATATATACATACATAATCAAATCCATATACATTAATAAGATCTCTCTTGAAAGAAAAAAAAAACTCTAGTGCTGAAAAACTGCAACTTTTCGATAGAGATCGAAATTCTTTGTCGTATAGATATACTTTTTCACCCCTCTGCCACGTCACACATGGGGATTAGAAGGAAAAAAAATGAAAGAAATAAGACACAAATTAGGCTGACCTGAGAGACGATGCGTCGGCGGAGAAGGACCGTGGCGGGGAGTTCACCGTCGGGAGGAGAGGAGGCAGAGCCGTGAGAGTGGCCGTGAGTGGCATGAGTGTGGACATGGACGTGGCCCGCGTGCTCCTCGTCCTCCGTATTCACCTGCTTGGAGAAATGCCGCCTCTCGTAATACCCGGTGGCGAACGTGTCGATCATGAGAGTCCCGATGGCCGACAGCATGGCCACGAACCCGGCGAACGGGAAGGGCGAGTCTTCCAGGCTCTGGAACGCGTCCGGCAGGATATGGACGAAGCCGGTGCAGAGAATGACTCCGGCCGCGAAGGCCTTTACCATGAAGAAGACATCCTTCTCCGGCCTTAGCGCAGGGATCTTCTTCCCTATCAACGGCAGGCTCACCCCGATTGCTCCGGTCACCATCAGCAGCCCTATCGAACCTAACTTCAGCTTCAACTTCATCCCCTTATCATCAGTGCCCCTTCTTTGAAAATCCGCATGGCTGCTGCCTCTGCACTCACCCCACACGCACCCCATTTGAGCACAGATCAATATCATCAACAGAACCAGAATTCTCGTCATTGCAACGAGAATCGGACGTGGGTTTCTCGTGAAAATGGTCTTGGAGGAGTTACGAGGAAGTTATTTATACGGAGATTAGGGATGGTTGGAACACTCATTGGGTGGCTGATATCATGAGAATCTATTTTATCACGTAGAGTGGACTGTTTCCATGATTTTGTGTTCAGTACGCAGAGAAATTCCCCTTTTATATATCCCAAAAAAAGGGGACGGACCAAAAAAAAAGACGGGTTTATTTGTTTATTTATGATTTGGAAAAAAAAAAATTAATAATGGAACTGGAGAATTGATCAGTGAGTTAGAGAAAAGGTCGGCATCTCGACTGTATCGGTGGCTTAGATGCCCTGCGTGTCTCAATAATGCTGCTCCTCCATTATTATTTATTGTCCGGAAATGTCCCATTGATCTGCCACGTCATGTATTTACTCTTGTACACCTGCACGTACGTAATTTTATACACGTGTGTGTTTAAAATACAAATAAAAATCGTGATGGTTTAGTGACTATCTTCGCCTCTTGATCAAAGGTGACGGGTTCGAACTCTGTAAATAGTTAAGATTATTTTTTTTTATTACTTTGTGCGTTGATTTAGGAATGGATAAGATTTTTTGTTAAGATATCGGTTTATAATTGAATCGTAGTATAAAAAAATTACAAATAAAAATTACCAATATATTTCTCTTTTTTTTATTAAAGAAAAAAAATTATCAATATGCCCAGCCATATTTTATAGACAAGCGAATTGAAACATTTGAATTTGGTACGTAGTTTGACTCGCGTAATATATATATATTTTCTTTCTAAATGATCAAAGCAAAAGAATTTTGACGATAATATTCTCATGAGGTTTTTTTTATTATAATAAAATGATCCGATTTCCTCTACGGAAACAATTGTTAAGACATACCTTTGTCGACTTTGAATAGAATACTCGAATATCTTTTCTACACATTAAATTAAAATAAATTCTATCAAATTTGAGTTCCTTGGAATGGCTGAAAACATTCAAGAGCTCTAGTCTTTCTATGATACTCTTTCTGACGATGGGTAAATTGATATTATTTAATTTATTCTTTTATATATTTTTCTGCAAACTAATGCATATGAATGGACTTTTGTTTATTCGATATTGTTCATCTTAATAGTACATAATTTCACTTTCCGTAATAAAAAGGGATATATATCTTCTGGATTAGTAAACTATGATATATGTAATAAATAAACTAACATAAACATGCATGAAACCGATATGAAATGTGGCGACATAATTTCAATCTTTTTGGCTCTTTTTTTTAATCTGTAATAATGGAAACACAGAGTCACCAAACCCAAATAACTTATAAAATAATATGAAATCCAGACGAAAAGGGACGAATTTCGTGGTATAAAAAAACCGACTAAGTGCCTAGAAATATGGCTAAAGCCTATATTAATATAATATGATGAGAAAAAATAAATATTAAAAAGAGAATTATATTAAGAGTGAAGGTTACGACATGTAACATTGGAATGAAGACAGAATGTTGACATGCGAAGCAACTTTTGCAAGAGAAATGCTTTTGCTTTTGGCTGGGTTTAGCCTCTGGATGTCGATATTTATGTCACTCCAGTTACATTTGTTTCTTTCATTCTTCACTTTTTGGTCCAATCTATATAAAAAAAACAGGTCCATTTTAACTTGTATTATATTATATTATATTGACTTTATCATTTCATTGGGAGAAAAAAAAAGGATGAATATATCAAATATGCCTTGAAAGTTTAAAGTGAATTACAAAGCGAAAATCCGAAGCGGTAATTAGTAGGAGCGGTTTATTTGGTTAATAAACAAATAACCTAATCTATAAAAATAAATAACCATAATCAAATGAATTCAATATAAAAACACAATAATTATTATTTTTCTAAAATCGAAAAAAACCTAGACAACAAAATAAATAATTTTTATCAATAAAAACTTAAACAAAACCGAACAATTTAAAAAACCGAAAAGTTATATTTATTTTAAATCGAAATAATCGAAAATCCATGGACAACGGAATACACTGAACAAACAGAAATTGGGAATTATACAAAGGCCGCTGTGATTTCTTTCTTTTGCGGGAGTTCCGTTCCTGTTTTATTTCTGTCCACTTGCTCTTAGATGGAATGTACATATACATATACATATGGATGGATAGTAATGGATCTCTATTACCCATGATGTCCGGTTACGAACAAAAACCACATTGAAGTCGAAGACATTGACCTGTATTCAAGAACCACATTGAATACAATGTCTCATATATTATAGATTTGATCAAAGAAAATGTCTTCGTATGTTTTTCATGGCGTCCCACATACATATTTTACAAGAATTGATAATTCTAAGAGAGCTCCTCAATCTTGGGTCTTTTTCTCGACTTCCCTTTCCCATTAGATTCACCTTCAGAGCTCTTCTTCTCTATACGTTCGTCATCTTCTTCTTCTTCTTCTTCTTCATCCGATTCAGAGTCACTACTTCCCGCAGGCAAATGAACCAAAGGTCGATTTCCGGCGATGGCTGCTTCTGCAGCGTTGACCGCTTCAGGCGTGTTGAGATCCGCCACGCCCAGCATCAGGTCCTGTTGGTTCGATATATTCACTTAGTCAGCTCACTATATTCAAATGCTACCTCACTATATTCAAATGCTACCAGTTAAAAAGTTACCATCAACATCAACATTGATTTAATCCCAAATTTATTTGGGATCGGCCATATGAATTCTTCGTTTCCACTCATTCCGGTTTTGAGTTACCTCTTTCGAACTTTACAACAAGAAGAAACCAAACCATAGTTGTTTTGTTTTCTTATTGTTTCCTTGGAGAAACACTATTTTATTCAAAGTTTCTTGTGTTTTATCATCCCACAATAGTCCCTCACTTCCATCGGAATCACAAACGACAGTCCTGTTTTTTTTCTTTCTTTCGATGATTTAACTTCGAATTCTAAAGTGCAAACGTTTTTGGATATAGAATCGATTTTTTTTCTTCTCTTTTTTCTGGGGATAAATAGACTCCCCCCATCATGCAAATGATCAACAAAAGAGCAGATGGATGTGAGAAAATTACCATTTCGATAACTTCAGATTCGTTTCCTGTGAGAGCCTCGATGTCAACAGCCTCTGAATTATCCTAAACTTGCAAACACAATCGTCAGAAAAAAAAGGAGGGAGAGACCAGAGTGAAGAAACAGGCTTGGAGAGGCTAAGTGACCTTTGCTTCAATCTCCAGCCGTTTGTTGGATTCAGCAATGACTCCCAAGAAGCCTTTCACTCTGTCAAGAACTGCAACGAGTTTCAGATACAAACGTTCAATTTCTTTTACCTCTAAAAATTCAATCGCCACCCAAATAAAAGTCTAAAGCAATGATTTATTGCTTGAAAAGGCAACTACTTATAAATCAACGACACAGGATCTTCTAATGGCCATATGATGCACAGAATCATAGATACGGTTTACTTGCAAGCCAGCCTGCGACTACAACTAAACAAGCATCACATTAACCTTTGAAAGCTAACTATTAGAATGGTTTGATTTAAGTTAGTTTGGTTAGGGTTTATTGCTAAAGGTTCTTCTTCTTCTTCTTCTACTGTATTTAAGGAACACTTTTTTCCATTTTGTTAATACAACAGAAAACTTTCTCAAGTTCTTCTCCTTTCTCTGCATATTGCAACTTTCTTCTTTATTTCTTCTCTGCAACTATTACCTATTTCAATCGCTTTCGATGTTTTTATCAAAAGTTAATACTAAAAAAAGACACTGCGGGATGAATATGTTACAGACCTCAGGAGGAAAAAATCGAGAGAGAGATAGAGAAGTTACATTGGCTTTTGGGAAGAGGAGAGATGTGGGGCTTGGAATCAGGAAGCGGCGGACATGGCAGAGATGAAGACTTCTTGTTCTTACAGACCAAAAGTGCAGATTCTGGACAAAAGAAACAGAGCTTCGTAAGAACGCCCAAAACATCACACACGCACTTAACAGCTTAAGCTAAACGAGCAAAGACGAAGAAGTACCGATAGCAGAAGACGGAGAGTTGTTGTTCAGCTCCAGTTCCAGAAGATCCTTGCGTGGCCCTTCCATGGCTCTCTCACACTTTCAGACAATAGGGCAAAACCAGACGCTAAACCCTAATCAGCCCCGGGTAAGGGAAAAGGTTATTTATTGTACCATTCCCAATTAGGCCCATCTAATTGATTGGGCCTACTTCACTTTTTTGAACGGCCCAAAATGGTTTTTTAAATTTAAACACGCCCGCAGCAACTGCAGCTTAGCTTACGATGGACCGACCGAAATACGAAAGCGAGTATTATAACCTACTGGTGGTGGAAAAAAAAAATGGAAATTCGGATATTGGATACCTAATGAGATCGGTTATGATTCTTAAAAAAAATGGAATTCGGTTCAAATATACAAACGTATGAAACCAGTAATTATCCATGGTATGTGATGAGTAATTAATCTAAAATTTACCCTAAATTTTAATGATATTAAATTAAAATCTAAACCTATGCATAATTTATCTCTCGGCTAGGATACGATTTATATGGTCTTGATTATAATGATATGTTGTATTTTTCGTAAAATTTTATTTATTTATGAATTTTGGATATAGATTTCCACGGGTGATTGAGAATTATTTTGGATATTTGATTTTCATATATCGTTCGAATTCGGACATTATTTGGTGAGTAATTTGAGTTTAGACAATCCAAAAACCATTCGATTTTAAAAAATATTATAATGAAATTAATGGGACAAATATAGATTTAAAAAATAATCGTATGTGCTGCTTCCGTTGTAAATCTTTCTTCACTGTCGGCCTTTTGATGTGAGGCCCCCATTCATATGTACCGTACATGTACTCCAGGGTCGTACGGACAGCAGTGGGTCAAGACTCAAGAGAGTATGGCCCAAAAGCTTGAGAGAGTCATGTGTAAGGAGAGAGACAAAGTTTCAACCTTTCATCAGCGATAAGAGCAAATCTTCACTCTCTCAATAACCACCCAATCGTTCTTCTTCCTTGTTCATCTCCCTCTCTCTGCGCCTCTACCTTCAAATCTCCGAATGGCATCTGCCGCCTCCAGCACCGCCTTCTCCCTCCTCAAGCCCACCGCCGGCGCTGGCGCCGCCGCCGCCACCCGGGCACGCGCTTCCCTCTTGCCCATTTCAACCGCCGGCTCCATCGCCGTCTCCTCTCGCCGCCTCGGCTTCTCTTCCGTTGTGGACTCTCGCTTCTCCGTCCACGTTGCGTCCAAGGTCCGGTCGGTACGCGGGAAGGGGACAAGGGGAGTGGTTTCCATGGTGACTTGACCTCCGCGGATTTGAAAGGGAAGAAGGTATTCGTGAGAGCGGATCTGAATGTGCCTCTCGACGACAGCCAAAACATCACTGACGACACCAGAATCCGCGCCGCCATCCCCACCATCAAGTATTTGATCGAGAACGGCGCTAAAGTCATCCTTTCCAGTCATCTGGTACGTGGGTCTGATCAGTTCATGAGCCATTTGGCAATTGATTCCTGCAATCTTGATCTGTTTGCCATCATATTGATCTTGGTCTTGAAATCTATTGGGAAGATTCATTTGCTAGTGCTACTGACAGCATTTTCTAGAGAGACTTGAAGCAAATTTTTGGGTTCTTAGTTTCTAACTTTCCAGCACTTATTTAGTACGGATTTGATCATTCAGGGAAGGCCAAAGGGCGTGACACCAAAGTACAGCTTGGCCCCTCTTGTTCCCAGGCTTTCTGAGCTCCTGGGTATTCAGGTATTCCATGATTCTCTGATTAAATCAGGTTCTTGGATTATGATCTTCATGTGGGAATCTATCAGAGGTTTAATGGGGGTTGAATGGGGCAGGTCGTGAAGGCTGATGACTGTATCGGTCCAGAGGTGGAAAGCTTGTTGGATTCCCTTCCTGAGGGCGGAGTTCTGCTTCTTGAGAATGTGAGGTTTTACAAGGAAGAAGAGAAAAACGAACCCGAGTTCGCCAAGAAGCTAGCTTCCTTGGCTGACCTTTACGTCAACGATGCCTTTGGGACTGCTCACAGAGCCCACGCTTCGACCGAGGGAGTCACAAAGTTCTTGAAGCCATCCGTTGCTGGTTTCCTTCTGCAAAAGGTGAGATTTTTTTGATAGATCTTCCTACACATTTCAAGAGGATCAATGGATCTAAAGAAATAGGGGTAGCTCTCAACCTATCTATATGTTCTAGGAGCTGGACTACCTCGTTGGCGCAGTCTCAAGCCCAAAGAGACCATTTGCTGCCATTGTGGGTGGTTCGAAGGTCTCATCCAAGATCGGAGTTATCGAGTCGCTCCTCGAGAAATGTGATATCCTTCTACTCGGTGGTGGAATGATCTTCACATTCTACAAGGCGCAAGGTCTTTCTGTCGGGTCATCCCTAGTTGAGGAAGACAAGCTTGAATTGGCGACATCACTGCTTGCGAAGGCTAAGGCCAAAGGTGTCTCTCTCTTGTTACCTACAGACGTTGTGATTGCTGACAAGTTTGCTCCTGACGCTAACAGCAAGGTCTGTGTCTCTCTGCTGATACCATTGCTAATGCTTGATTGTCCTACTGTTCTTGCTTTAGGAGCTAGAAAAGAAAAAAAATGAGAAATGGGTTTCTGATCTGTTGCTAAAGCTAGTGTCTTTGAGTAAAATCACCTTTGGCTGCTCTGCATGGTGATGAAAAAAGGACAAATGGGAAGTGGGTCTGGATGATTGTCTAAATCTTTGTTTCCAAAGAAATCTGTGTGAATTGGTTCTTCTGGAGGGGAAGTGAATGCGGTTAACTGTCGACTTCCTGACGGGTGGATGGGATTGGACATTGGGCCGGACTCTGTGAAAACATTCAATGACGCACTGGACAGCACACAGACAATCATCTGGAACGGACCGATGGGAGTCTTTGAGTTCGACAAGTTTGCTGTCGGAACAGAGGTAAGAATATGCGGAAAGATTTGGTTTTGCACGGATCGGATTCCTTAGAAAAGGGTTGTAATGACAATGATAATGTTGGGGGTGCAGGCGGTGGCGAAGAAGCTGGCAGAGCTGAGCGAGAAGGGGGTGACGACGATCATAGGAGGAGGAGACTCAGTAGCGGCAGTGGAGAAAGTGGGAGTGGCTGGTGTTATGAGTCACATCTCCACTGGCGGTGGTGCCAGTCTCGAGTTGTTGGAAGGCAAGCAGCTTCCCGGTGTTATTGCTCTCGATGAAGCTGCCCCTGTCACTGTCTGAGTCTCTCTCCCTCTCTCTCTCTTCTTCCTTTTTGTTTGTTTTTTTTTATTACAAGGGCTTGAGGTGTAATATTAGACACAGCTAAAATGCTGTAGGAAGAGAAGAGACGACTGAGTTTCTGCTTCCGTTGTAAATCTTTCTTCACTGTCGGCCTTTTGATGTGAGGCCCCCATTCATATGTACCGTACATGTACTCCAGGGTCGTACGGACTACGGAGTCTCGCAATAAAATCATTTTATATCTCTGAGAGTGTATCCAATATCTGCTAAAAGATATGCAACTTTGGTAATTACGATTGAAACTATATAAAATCAGTATAAGCGTCTACCAATTTGTCATGGAAATTTAAAAAAAAAACGTACGTTTAGAATTTTATGCAGAGATATCTCTCTTCAATGGACATTACTACGTAAGCATGACGGGACATTTAATTAAAAATAAGATATAAAACATGATATTTAATTAAAAAATTTGATATTGAAAAAAATCTATGGAGTTATGTGGAATTTATTTGATTTGGCTTTACCCGATCCGACCCGAGTTTACATTCGGTTCGAGGGTTTTGGGTTCGGACCAGTCAATTTTTTTTTGATCTAAATAATTAAATCCGAAACTCAATCCTTTAAATTTCATGTTTGGATTCGAGTCGTACCGAATCGGCTCGAACTATTAAATTTGTTCTTTAAAATTTTTTATTTTTTTATTTTTTTTTAAAAAAATTTAAACTTTCGAATCGATCTAAACACCGATATAAATCCGATCCAAAATCTCGAAATTTTTTGTTTCTAAATATCTCGACCTAAAATTCACTATTTTTCGGGATGAATCGGACCGAACTTCGAGCCTCGAACCAAAATTAACGTAACCCCCCATAATTCCCAATACTTTGTTTTTCTATCAGCAGAGCCCAAGGAAATGTTCAGCCTCAGTCACGAAAAAACTATGGGCCTTTTTTTTTTTTTTTTCCTGAAACCATCCAATTCTTTACAATTAAAACTGTGGGCCCATCACCACTGTAAAACCGTATCTGTGTGTATATAATATGTATATGCTGTCGATTCTCAATCTCAATCTCGGATCTCTGTCTACCTAACGTCGTGCGTATCGGCGGCCCTTCCTTGCGATTAGTTTTCCGATTACGAAAATTTTCTTTCTTTGGCTGTGGAAGCAAGCGATATTCCTTTGCTTTGGCTGCAATGGCGACGAAGAGGAGCGTTGGAACTCTCAAGGAGGCTGATTTGAAGGGGAAGAGAGTTTTCGTGAGGGTTGATCTGAATGTTCCTCTCGACGAGAGCTTCAACATCACCGACGACACCAGGATCCGTGCCGCCGTTCCCACTATCAACTACTTGATCCAAAATGGAGCTCGAGTCATCCTCTCCAGCCATTTGGTATGCCCTTCTTTTCCCTCCCTCCCTCCCTCCGTCCGCCGATTTTTTTCCTTCTTGGGTGTGATTCGAACGCGCAGAGATTATCTGGGCTTTCGTCCATTTCGTTTTTAGTTTCTTCTCTTCAATTGTCGTCTAGATCAGTAGATTGGATCTGTTTGAATTAACTTAGTGCACTCCCTCATCCTTACCCTTTCTTGATAATGTTGATGGAGAACATACTGCTTATCTAGAATGATAATGATTCTTGTCTTATGGTTGTTCTGTCTCTGAAACAAATACGGTTTTTCAGGGTCGCCCGAAAGGTGTTACTCCCAAATACAGCTTGAAACCTCTTGTTCCAAGGCTGTCTGAACTCCTATGCATCGAGGTACTTGGCACAACTTTCTTGTTTCTCTTTATATTTTCTGAATTTTTGTCTTACACTTGTGTATCTGAAGTGAATTGGTTAGTACTCAGGCTTGTCTTTTGTGTTCTTTTTTTTTGGCGGCAGGTTAAGATGGCAAATGACTGCATCGGCGAGGAGGTCGAGAAGCTAGTCGCAGCACTTCCTGATGGGGGGGTTTTGCTCCTTGAGAACGTAAGATTCTACAAGGAAGAAGAGAAAAACGACCCTGAATTTGCCAAGAAGCTTGCCAATCTTGCTGATCTCTACGTGAATGATGCGTTCGGCACTGCTCACAGAGCCCATGCTTCTACAGAAGGGGTGGCTAAGTTCTTGAAGCCTTCTGTCGCTGGTTTTCTCATGCAAAAGGTGTTTCCTTTTTGACCATTTGTGCACTTCAAGCTGTGATCTGTTATTGCTGAAAGGCAAAGCTCATACTCTCACACCAAGACAACATAATTGTCTGATTTTTAAAGTATTTTCTGTCGTGTGATGCAGGAGTTGGACTACCTCGTTGGAGCAGTGGCTAACCCCAAGAAGCCTTTTGCTGCCATAGTCGGAGGCTCAAAGGTCTCGTCTAAGATTGGAGTAATCGAATCTCTTCTGGAAAAGGTCGACGTGCTCTTACTCGGCGGTGGTATGATCTTCACGTTCTATAAGGCCCAAGGTCTCTCTGTTGGGTCTTCTCTCGTGGAAGGGGACAAACTTGAACTTGCAAGCTCTCTCATGGAGAAGGCAAAGGCCAAAGGCGTCTCTCTTCTTCTTCCGACTGACGTTGTTGTTGCAGACAAGTTTGCAGCTGATGCCAACAGCAAGGCCAGTGCCTGCTTCATCATTGTTTTGTTTTCTTCTTTGTGTCGGTTTGAGAACTGCGATTGATTGAATTTTTTACCCCCTCACTGCAGGTAGTGTCGGCATCTGAGATTCCAGAAGGATGGATGGGATTGGACATTGGGCCGGACTCAGTGACGACATTCAACGAAGCTTTGGACAAGACACAAACGATCATCTGGAACGGGCCGATGGGTGTGTTTGAGTTTGATAAGTTTGCAGTAGGAACCGAGGTAATATAAAGGGAGTTCCAGTCTTGCTTTGTTGTATGTACAGATAGATAGATAGATATATATAACCGGGTCATGTGGTGTCAGGCCATGGCGAAGAAGCTGGCAGAGCTGGGCGAGAAAGGAGTGACAACGATCATAGGAGGGGGAGACTCAGTAGCAGCGGTGGAGAAGGTGGGGCTTGCAGAAAAGATGAGCCATATCTCCACGGGAGGTGGCGCCAGCTTAGAACTCCTCGAGGGTAAGCCCCTTCCCGGCGTTCTCGCCCTCGACCATGCTTGACCGGTTTCAAGAATGGATTGGTCGGTTTGTGTTTGTTTCATGGGCAGAGTGTGCCACCAGAGCTGTTCCTTTTTTTTGTTTTCTTATGTTCGAATGAATAAATCTGTTCGAGGAATCTATGAATGATTCAGATTCAGTTAGATTTCATGTTGTCTTGTCTGATTCACAAATGAGGGAGTATCTATCTGTAATGTATACATTGAGAGAGATGTCCTTAACAGAAGGATCTACTCAGGAAGGTGGCTTTGTAGCATACGAATGTTTCTTCTTCGACTGAGATTTATGGGTTCATGTTTGTTTCTGACAAAGTGGAAGTCACCATCTTGCCCGACATCCATTATCTTTGAAGGATATAAGCAAAGATATATATATATGTATGTATTTGTCTCAATAATATATATATATATATATATATATATATACATGTATTTGTCTCAATGATCAACTTTTTCTTTTAGGCAAATGTTTGCGTACCCAAAAGAATGACCAAAAAATGCCAAATTTCGACAAGGAGAGATGTAATGTGAAAATTAAAGCAGTGCCAATCAAGAAACATGAACCCCACAAATTCACTTTCACTGGCTCTCATCTACCAGCAGCTGAGGCCTCTTCACAACACCGTTTTCGTACAAATACTCCACAAATTCGTCGATCAGGTACGGCCATGCCCCTTCCTCGTCATAATCCGACAATCCAGATTCCACCATCTGTGCTTATATTTTCAACATCGCAGCCGGAAACAAAAACGTATCAACCTTGTGCCCTGCCTATGCCTCAGAATCACATTATCTTCATGAAGTTGCTCATCTTTATAAGTAGTCTACATAAAGATAGATGTATGTATGTATGCAGGAATGTGGAGTTAAGAATCATACCCTTGCAAATTCCAGGAGCTGAGACCAGGTATCCTTAGATATAGCCTTATTGTGTCGAGCCTGATTTCGAAACCCATAAGAACCGAAAAAAAAAGTATTACAAGAAAGAAAATACAAGAGGCGATCACGTCTGTTCTCCTATCAAAGGCCTGGGATGATTCTTTTTAACCAGTGTCCTGGACTTCTCTCCTAACTAATCCAAGACCATATGATATATATCACCTCCCGAAATGTTCATATAAATCCAGAATCTTTATAAGTTAAATCCCAAACCTAAAGCTTCTTGAATTGAAACACCAATTCCTTATGTAGCTATGAATTACATACTATACGGTTAATGCTCCAGTTACCTGCAAAAACTCGCACCAGTATTCGATCAATGGCCACTGTTTTTCAGCAAAGAGCAGCTGCCACATCCCTATTGCAGTATCTAAGGCCATAGATTTCTGACCCTGAAACGTTACAGTTGAAGTATTTGTCATTCATTCAGATATATAATTCAAAGCAAAGAGTACACTGAAACCAAATAATTTTCTGTAAAAAGCTTTACCTTCTCTTTCGCCCAGCCAAAAGCAAAGTTGTATATTTCACGAAACTTTTCTGAGGGTACATGGGAAGACAAATTCAAAAGCAACAGAAAATACATCAGCCAAAAGTAGGACCATGAATCCCTCACTGCATTATAAATCAGATTAAAAAAGGATAATTATTGTATTTCTCGTCTTACGTTCGTCTTTTAGCTCGGAACGCATGGAAGGCAACTTTTCCCGCAGCTTCTCGATGGAATCTACACTGCCATATCGAAATTACACATTCAACAAACCCCATTGTCATGAGATTCCCAAATCAAGTCACCCAATTATCATTACTGATTACACAATCGAATGGCATATGCACTGTGTTGTTCACTCACCCTAGAGCCTGTAATCCACCGACAAACTCCTGCTTCGAAAATTCACACATAGTGGCCGCTTGCATGTACCATGAAACGACTAACTGAAATTATGGTAACCAGCCAAGTATTCAAAAATCCAGAAAGACAACACAGCAGTCCCAGAGTCTGGAGAATCAAGAAGTGAATGACGATATTTCCAAGTAGATAATGAGATTCATCCATGGACAAATATCATCCTCCCGTGCATTGTCTGATTTTTCTAACTACTTTTGATCTTGATTGTTTCTTCATATCATTTATTCATTGTACTTAAGTCGGTAACCCAAGAATAAACCAAAACAAATCATGGAAGAAAGTTCCTAAAAGAAGGTTTCAGAATAAACATACCATGACTATGTCTTGGGGTTCCACCTAAAGAAAAATCAAGTCACAAATGTTATTGTTGCTTTGAAAAATAATCTACAGAATCTTAAAATCATTCAAGATTAAAAAAAAAAAACTATAGCTACCTGAAGATCATTACACAGTAGGGTGATACCATCAACATAAATCATATCGGAATATGGATCTGCATAAAGCAAAAGGAACCTTTTGAGCATTCCAAAAGAAAATCCCAACAAATGATAATCGCTTCCAGTATCACATTTAACTTGCAGCTCAGATCAAGAGTGACTTGCCTTTATATCTATTGTAGAGCTCTTCCAAGCGTCTGATATCGGCATGACTTCTGACATGGGGCTGGCTGTAAAATACGTCAAAAGCTCCTTCGAGGTGCCAGTCGCTCGCTTTCAAAGCCTGAAGAGCGG